GACAATTGATGTCTTTTAATGTTTGCTATTACCTACGTTATAAACATCAAGACATTTTCAGTAAGTTTATAAATTAGCCACTGTGTTAAGTCATCAATTTATTATGTCTTAATGGATATGTATGATAAATGTATTGATCTCATTTATGTGGTTATTTCTGTAGAGCAAAGTTAACAAATGAAAGAGAAAGTAATTTAACAGATAATTTCTCATCGCTCAACTTTGACGTGAGACGCACTTTGAAAGTTGTTCAATTTAATGTAACATTAAAGACGCAAATTGCATTAATAAAAGGGCAAATAAAGACACTGAAAAAATATCACAAAAATCTACAAACACAAAAAAAGCACCTTCAAGCATTTAAAATTGCGCTTAATTCCAAAATCAATAAGACACATGTACAAACGTACAAATTAGTTAAATTGCAAAAACAAATTAAGAAAATTGAACTTAAAATGATTAATTTGTCATTAAAAATGAAAACAATCGATGTGAAAGTAGCAACAATTCAAGCACAGCTAAAAAAACTAGAAAAACAACTGAAAGCTCTTTACAAAGAAAATATAAAACTCACAGGAGGTAAGAATGATTTTTAAACAACAAGAGTGACATTTAACAACATATTATTTCATGGCAGATCTCTTTGTTTACATTACCAGGGAAAGACTGCGCAGATCTGTACAAAAAAGGTGAAAAAAAGAACGGAGTTTATCAAATTAATCCTGATGGTCAGGGTTACTTTAAAGTTTTCTGTGATATGAAGTCATCTGGTGGAGGTTGGACTGTGTTTCAACGACGTCAAGATGGAAGTGTAAACTTCTATCGAGGTTGGAAAGACTATAAACAAGGTTTTGGTGATTTGAAAGGCGAATTCTGGCTTGGATTAGATAAAATATACCGACTAACATCTGCAAGGAGAAATAAACTTCGTGTAGACCTGGGAGACTGGTCAGGAAACAAAGCATATGCTGAATATGATTATTTTGCTGTAAAGAATGAAAATAAAAAATATCAACTAAGTCTTGGTAAATATTCTGGTAAGTTAATACGTTAATATAAACGTTTAAGGGAAAAGTATTTTGATATATACAATATTTTTGAATGATTTGAGTGATTGCAGTTTGCAAAGGGGTATTCTCCAAGTTTTGATAAAAACGGATAGTAACGGTTGGTTTCGAACTAAAGCCTTGTTTGTCAATAAAAATATAATTAATTTTGAACTTAAAAACTTACCGAAAAAATACAACAAACAAACGTAAAGTAAAAAGTCGTTCTGTTTTGCGAATGATTCTGTTGCAACGATTGATTGTGACATGTAATGATTGTGATTAGCTTATCATCAATATTAAATGCAAATTCAACTACAGCTTTGTAAATTAGGTAATGATAACCTAGCACATGAACAACATGTAGCTAATAAATACGACTAAATTATTTGGTACATAAGAAAGAATCTATACTGTGAATATCATTGTCTAATGATCATTGTCTGAAACCTTTTTTATAAAATGCATGCGTTGAAGTAAGCTCCTAGTAATTAGTTGTAAATGCAAGTTTTAATGCCTAAATGATGTATACATTATAACTTGTTCTTACATATAAAAGTTTTTATGAACTTAACAACAACCTAAAACATAACAGAAATTTATTTAAGTTTACATGGACAATTCACATTTATAAGAATGAAACACAAATATATCAATTGAGCCAGGGGCGGATCTAGAGTATGTCAAATCCGTCGCGCGCCTGATGTTTGAAATTCAAAAATTACCTATTCATATTAATTAAAAATTCATTAATTATTCTTACTTTATTATCGCATTTACTTCGTGATAAAAATCCAGCTTTATTTATTATTGAAAACTAATGACTAATCCAATGAATATCTCGTTGGTAACCAGATCAGTTGAATTTTAATTGACCTGGAATAACCGACTGATAAGCGAGGTGGCTTGACTGGTTCGACTGATAAAGGAGTCTACGAACGCCAAAACACTTATTTCATTGGTCAATAGCCAGATCAGTGGACGATCTGGAATAATCTCGACCGATAAGCGGGGTGGCCGGAAATATAAGGGAGTCCACTTGCTATCGTGTAATTGGTTCGTTTAAATTTTTGTCTTACTGTGATTGGTTTGACCGATTTCGACTGATAGCCAACTGAACTAACATAGTCAAGCTCACTGTTTCAATTGAATGTTTGATGGTTTCATATTAATTTTTATAAGCATGATAGAAACTAAACTACAATCAGATGGAATTTATCGAAATCTTTTACAAATTCATATATTGACATGAATGCTGCTTTCCAAACTGGGAATTTTTTCAAGAGGGCGAAAAATTTATGGATGAATTGTAAATGTTTGGCAAAGACGATCTCGCGAGCGACATTTCAGTCATTGATGTTCAAAAGCAAGCCAACATTGTTTTGAGTTTTATCAGCAGAAATTTGCAAAATCGTAAGTAAAGGACAACTGAAGTGTATGTATGAATGTAATATATCAAAGTCAATTTATGCGAGTGTGTGATGCGATTTATGTTAATATGGCGTATGGTAAGCAGATTGATGCTTCTAAAATTGTTGTTGCCGAAGGACTTTTAGCTATGATTTCTTTAGTGCTTGGGGAATCGTGGCCGTTATATGACAGCGAAATCCTACATTCCTGCAAATATATTTCAATGGACAAAAAATCTGTGGCCATAAGCCGCCATGCTATTATTTACTTTATCATAAACAAATGTTTGGGGCTTTTCAGTTTATGATCATTGATCATTCAATCATTGGACAGTTATACTACATATTGTTTAAGATTTGAGAAAACTAACATTGATTACAAGAGAAGCTGTTTACTATAACCTGTGATTTTGAGTCTTCTGATCCATGAAGCTTTTTATTTTGACAATTTGACTGAAATGGTATGAAACCTGAGTATTTCACATACACGAAATGTTGTCCCATGTCACATATTGTCCCCTTTTCTAACTGAACACATTATGTAGAGATGTAAAGGTGTGTTAATCTACGGCTCATACCAGATTGTTTGCCATAAATTCCAAAGGGCTATTGATGTATGAAAAGCATTTTCTATAAAGTAAAAATGTCTTTCTATGTATGCAGATAAACCTTGAAATTTGGCAAAACAGCAAAGTATATTTTTCATGATCACTAGGTAATTTTTCTGATGATCAGTATAATTTCTAAACTAAATTATTTCAGATTTACATTTAAACAAGCTTTGATCATATGAAAAGATATTTATCATAACCAGTAAGCATGACACATGAACCAATTTTAACATTTATGTAATTATATAATTAGAGACATGTTGGTTACATTCTGTTTGTATTTGCAAATACAATGCTACTAGTGATTGCTATACCTTGCAGAAGATAATAGTTTAGTGAAATGCCTAATAAACATTTATGGCATTAAGCTGTCCTTAACTGCAAATTTTCACTTTGATAATTTTTGCTTAATCTTTGGCAGAAAAAAATTTTGAGTTTTTTCTCCAAAGGTGAATTTGTTGGCACTGAGGTGGAGATGGGTAAAGGGTTACAATAAATTTGCATGGTTTGAAGTCTAGCTTTTCTATATCTATGAACTGTCACTTGTAGTACCAAATTTCTAACTTAACTCATTGCATAGAGGTTTGAATGGGGGTCTCTAGGGGGGTCTATGCCTGACAACTTGGTAGAAATTTTTAAAGGCTACCTCTGTTTTTGAATAGCATTATTGTAAAATAAATTTTACGTTCCTAGACATGCTAATGAGCCATATATCTGGTTCATGAAAGAAAGTTAAAAAGCCTTCATGACATGTAGCTAGCTAATTCGTAGAAAACTTTTACTTTTGCGATTTATTTGATTTCGAGAAGAATAAATGATTTAATAAATTAGCAACAACAACTATAATACCAGCGAGTACATTGTGCATGATTGTGGTTGGAACTTCCGCTAACACTAACCAGTAAAATTCGATTTTAGATTTGTATAAAACTTAATAATAAGCATGCGACTGAATATACGTAATGAAAACTCAGGATTCTAATATGTTTTGGTATTTATACCACTTCTTTTTTACTCTATAAACTAAATGAAAAAACTAATTGACAAATCTCATAAAAGTCTCCTAAACAAATGACCACTGAAAAACATCTTAAAATCGTCTATAAACGACATAAAACACGTGTTTGGGATTTTCTGCTAGTTCGGGATTTTCTGCTAGGAGAATTTTATGATAGCATCAGCTGAATGACGTCTAAAATTTTTCTGAAGAAAATTACTTTTCTTAGGAACAGCTGGAGATTCATTATCCTATCATAAAAGCATGGCGTTTTCAACCAAAGATTCGGATAATGATAAAGATGGAAGAAATTGTGCCGCAAACTTCAAAGGTGCTTGGTGGTATAATAATTGTCATTATTCCAACCTGAATGGGCACTACTATAGTAGAGCATACAGCAGTTGGAGTGGTGTGAATTGGTATCATTGGAAAAACAACAAAAATTCCTTAAAGTTTTCAGAGATGAAAATGAAAATGACAAAGAATTTTTAAATATTGTGTTTTCTTAACTTTGATATATCTTATGAAACTTCGCATAATATTGACATTTGATAATAACTCTTTTAATAGAACTTTTACAATCATCGTTCTTTTAAAGGAGCGTGGAAAAAATTGTTGAAAAATGTTGTGGTGAAATAATAAATTTTTATTATTCCCCAAATGCTGGCAGATTTAATGATATAGTTTTGGAGTGACGTCTTTTCTAACATTTCTTTGACGTTTGCGGTGAAAGTTAATTGCAAAAAATTTTGATGTTTTTTGCCTCGTTCTCACGCCATCTTGGATTTATCATGCATGTCATGCGACTATCTGATATCTTATCTGGTTTGTCATGAAGCAATCTTGTTCCCGCCAAAGAGAATGCTTGCACATAACCTATTGTCAACACAGTGTGTCTAACTGCTTGTTGTTTAGATAGAGTTAAACCACTAGATTATTCATTTGAAAATTTGAGTAAAAATTCACACAAGTGAACGCACTCATACACACCTTACATTTAAGCCCATTAGAAAATCAAAAAGAAACCCCGTTATTCATAATTTACATACATGCTACATCTGAATGATAATCTTTCTAATCACCAAAAAATGAATTTCTCGATCATCAGCAACTTGTGACGGGCTCAAAGTTCACCCTAAACATCACAATGGATTTTACCATTATCATGACGCAACTTGTCTCCAGGTTTCTCCTCGGAAAAATGCCTGAAATGATTTAAGCATTCCATTCGAAAAAGGGCGTATTCCTGAAAGAAAAAGAGAAGTAATCAAGTAGATGAAGACATATTAATTATACATGAACTTTAGCCTTAAGGAAATCCATAACATCATCCCATTATACTGAAAAGGCAATGTTCTTAAAATAATATTTATATAGGAGTAATTGAGACAAGATTTACTGCAAAAATGTAAACAAGTTTGCGTACATGTTAGAGGCCCCATTCAACGTACAATAATGCACCAGTTAAACTGAATGCAAATAACTCTGTTTGTCTGTTTAGGTTTTAATAAAATTTCCTATGAACATATTTTAATAAACCAAAAAAGGAATATTTTTTGTCTATCCTTTATAAAACAACAAAAAGATATAACGCAATACGCTGCTTGGACTACAGGTCAGTTTTCAAAAGCCTTTGCAAATGTGGAAAGTTGATCTCAGCTTAATCAATTAAATCAATTAAAGACAATTTAGAATAGATAATTTCGCAAAACATGTTTTATTTCAAATAATACTGGGCAATGGTGATAAAAGGCTAGTAACTCACAGTTCTTTTTAAGAACTGCTTAAACTACCATCCTGCAGTTAATGTAATATTTGCGTAACATTTCCTATTTAAGTAGAGGTTCGCATTTCTCTAGATATTTTCTGACGCTTTTAAATACGTTGTATGTGAGATTAATACGTTGTATGTGACACTAATACGTTGTATGTGAGATTAATAAGTTGTATGTGAGATTAATACGTTGTATGTGAGACTAATTCGTTGTATGTGAGACTAATACGTTGTATGTGAGACTAATACGTTGTATGTGAGATTAATACGTTGTATGTGAGACTAATACGTTGTATGTGAGACTAATACGTTGTATGTGAGATTAATACGTTGTATGTGAGACTAATACGTTGTATGTGAGATTAATACTTTGAATGCGAGATCTTTCGATTAATAATACAGCTGGGAATTGTTTTATATTGATTTGATTATTAAAAGAAATCCGTGCATAACGAAAAATTCAGTATCTCTCATACGTGCGTAACGTATGAGAGATATTGAATGGTAACATCTGTTCTGAATAAATCCACATGGAAAGAACTTAGTGCAAAAGACCATGCAAATGTTTGTGAAGAAATAACGCAAACTATTTGTAAAAAGTTGATGAAGTAGTAGTTCGCATTTCTAACATTGTTCGACGTAGAATGTTCCTTATAAGATATGGTATTTTAAAAATATCAAATGTTGTACATTACCACGGTACGACAATACAACAACCAAAAAGGAATTCAGTCACGTGATGTAAATCTAACGGTAAACAACACTATTGAACAATTCATCTACTTACGAGATAACCAAAATTGATCGAGGATTTATAACTTTGAAGAATTGAAAACATTGCCCAAAAGAAATGAGAAAGAAGAGACAATCTATAGAAAAAAAGGAAAACAAAGCTGAATGATGTTATTTCATAAATATTTTTAAAACATACGTAAAATTAACATTTATTCGCAGAAAAACAAAACCGACGCCAATATGTAAGCACTTGCGTACAATAGGTAAAACGTTACTTGAATAGGCTGTGTAATAAAAGCCTATAAAGGTATAGATAAAACCGACCTAAATTAAATGGCGTCATTAAACCCTAAACTGACGTATTCCAAAAACTGAACCTTAAATAAACGAGAACTACGACAGTGAAAATAAATCTGTCAAGACATACGTTCTCATAGAAATCTAAGAATTTCCAAAATTTATCTTGCGCTATATTAATACAAGAGGACGATTGTTATAATATTTACCTATCAGCTTCGTCGATAACTTTTTCAATCTCGTCTAACGTGACGTCAGTCGTTTCATTGTAAGCTTGTAAATACGCACGGACAAAAAATACCTGAAATTTCGATAAGTTTGGAATAAGAATTTTTCACAAAATTTTTATTTCATGAGCCCGCGTCTTTCCGCTGACTTTGACTACCAAATCCGCCATGTTTTTGACCACGGGCCGCGCGCCAATAATTTATAGTAATTTTGTTAACGTGTTCCCTCCAGGTCTTATAGAACTCAATGGAAATACCTCTACGGAAAAACACCGGGGGGACCTCTACGGCAAAACACCGAGGGCAAACCTCTACGGCAAAACAATGAGAGAAATAACTCTACAGCAAAACACCGGGGTAAAACCTCTACGGCAAAACACCGAGGAAAATACCTCTACGGCAAAACACCGACAACAAAAAACCTCTACGGCAAAAGACCGAGAGGAAAAAGCAAAAAAAGCAAAGCAATCAAAAGCAAAAAAAAAACACACGAGAAAAACAGAAATAAAGTACTGAGAATAAATAGTTATACCGCAAGGAAAAGCAAAATCATCACATCATTAACACATGGTAGCTATAAATGTTGTAATTCAAATCAAGCAATAATAGATAGCCACATTATAAACAGCAGATCATCCTTTTCATATGAACTATACTTCGAGAGTTATTTTTAACCATGAAATTGTTTTTATCTTTTCTTAAATTATTACATATATTAGTGAATTACCTTTTGATCATAAGAGGGATATTTGGTGACGTCTCCGGTAAAAAAGGGATAATGTGGATGATTATAATCAAATATCCATTCACTGAAATGATTACCAATATCGTATCCTCTGAATAAAAAAATAACAAATATCATAAAAAAGTTTGACAAGGTAAACAATGTTTAAAATAAGAAAAGTTGAAAAGTTTTGATGAAATAAATAATTTAAAATGTTCCAAAAGAAAGATAAGCAGCCGGTTGAAAAGCATTATGGGTGCAATATGGTTGTTTTGTTGCCAGCTCCCCTTGCTCAATTGATGACTGCTTTAAGTGACCAACAAAGCCCTTGCTATCATAATATTTGACAACCCTACGCAGCGCAAAGATGAAATAATATTCTAGATATAGAACAAAATGTCTCCTTTCTTCCTTCCTCATTTGCGGTTTAAACGAAAATTATCCTTCTCTCTTTTTTTTCACCTGTAGTTATAACACGAATATTCGAAATCAATCACACGAATTTTTGCCTCATCGAGATCTTCATTTGCTTTCACCAACAAGTTTCCTGTAGGTATTTAAATTATATTTAACCTTTATTAAAAACCCATAATATTCACAACAACATAGTTGGAAATCTTTACCTGGTTGTACGTCATTATGGCAGAAGAAAACTGGTGATTGGCTGTTTTCAACCACGTGCCTAACACATCAACAACAAAATAACAATAATGTAAGCAACACTTAAATTCATTCATCCTAAAACATCTTTTGGCACATAAGTATTTTCAGTTTAATTAACTTTGTACATGGTTTGTGCATAGCATTTCAGCAGTTAATGTCTCATATTATATCATTAAATAAATTAATGATTTGTGATTATGTGAATTTAAAGTACTCAAAAATTTATTGTTTTTATTCATTTAGTACTGTGTGGTTGATCGACTGTGTGCCCAAATTAGTAAGTACGTCATACAATTGCTTCCATATAATGTTCTTTTCTGTAAAAATTCTTAAGTAAAGGCTACGTAGTCCAAATGCAGCATAATAAAAAAAACGCAGTAAAATAAGAAACATTATTATTCTATCAAGACGTTGATATTTAATCTTCATCTGGCATGAAGCATACATTTTTCAACATCACTGTCAAACTACTGGCTAGCAGTAGTAGTAGCTTACCCAGAAAATGACAACCTAATGCATATGTATAAAAATAAGCATTCATTTATCATGTAAGTAATAAAAAAAATTTAGTGTGTTTCTAAACGCGGAAAGTTTGGAGGAAAAAATAAATTGCGTGGCAAGCACAAGCACGAATTGAGTACTTTCAATGAATTTCGAGTTGCTCCAAAACTTTCACAAGTATGTATTTCATTCATAAATTAAAACCAACATTAAAAAGACAAATTTAACGACATATTGTTTAAATTTTCCGTGTCCACGCAAACCACGCAATCTGCGATACTTTTGCGAGACTGAAAAAGAGTTTCTGATACACGGGGTTTGCGAGCATTCAACCAATCAGCGCCAATTATAAATTTATTTTCAAAATACCAGAAAATCAAAGATTAAGACACCTTTAAACAGGGAAAACCGTCAGTATCATCTACTTTTCTAGCTAATCCTACATCGTACGTACGCTCAGTCAGTCACAATGTATGATCTCAATTATAATCACAAAATCATGTAAATACCTCACCTGTAGACACACTAGTTTCCCAACAAGCCCCCACACGTGACCTGTCTCCCTAGTCCCCATGACCGTTCTGTTTTTGAGTGGCTGACTATTTTCCATACCTGATAAATTTGAGAATTTCATCAATGTCAAATTTATGAAAAATTTCATCCAAGATCTTTAATTTATCAACATTGGAAAATTTAAGACCTTTAATTTCCATCACAAATCTATCAAAAAAAAATATAGTTTATGTACAATCAATGTATTATATACTGTACACTGTGATAAAATAATAATATAAGGAGATGGTGAGGTCATTTTGAACAATATGAATTCTAGAATATTTTTTAAAAAAAGTTTACTTCAAAACTAATTCAGATTGGTGCAAAAGATTCAAAAATTCAAACTCACATTTGAAGTGAATCCAAAAACCAAGTGCCTTCCTTCGAGAGAGGAAGTTTTAGCTTATGAAACGCAGCTACATGCTCAGCTATTTGTTGTGATAAACGAGGATACTGGACTTCCCGACTAGTCAATGCTCGAACCTTTAACAAATTACAACACAAGTAAATTAAACTTTGGTAAACAATGCAAAAATTAATGTTGCGAAAATTTCAACTATTTAACAGTTTAATTTAAAAATTTTAAATTCTTTCCAACACAAATGAGAATGAATTTACAATTTTTCTATACAGACTGTATAGTTAGTATGAAATAATCAATACTGATTATACTACTATCAGTGGAATACAAAACTCAGCTGTGCTAGAACAGATTTAAATTGATATTAAAGCTGGAAAGCTAGGGCATGTTCTTTCCATACAAGCAGGTGGTATACTCACTATAAAAAGATAAACTTTCCTTACATTAATCGCTGATTTTTTTTGGTACTTACATTAGGAATAAACTGTTCAAGTCTTCCTTCAGGAAATATACCATACAACTCTGGGGCCATCTTTTTTTCAGCTAAAAGGCCGCAAATGATGCATTCTTCCATCATGCGAACATTGTTGTCAGACAAATCTGCATAGAATGCACCATATAGCCGAAGCAGTGCTTTGTTCACACCATCAGGATTTGAATTTGCATATTCATGTGGCAGAGAGCACAGAAACAAATGATTCGTTAATCCACCACTGTAATTGTCAAAAGCGTATTGGTTAAAATTATCACTCAAACTATGATTTCATCTCCTCTGAGTGGTAAGTTTATCAACAAAAGAACAACGATAGACAAGCATAGAGGTAAGATCAGAGCATTAGTTAAATAAATATACAAAATAAGCCCATTCTTAGATTAATCATATCTTACAAGATTTTTTCTTCCGGAAATTAATTTCTAAATCAAAGGCACTATTATGAAGGTTATTTTGCATATAAAACAAGGATGCTTATTTTATTTCACGTATGTATTCTGCCTCCACCCCAGAACAAAACTAAAACAACTTTGAACAAGAAAATATCAGACATAAGAAATATGAGACAAGGAAGTTGGAAATTACAAGAAAATTAGCTGCACTTGAGAAATTTTATCACTTTCATGGACAGACACCAGAGAATTCTGCAATTGCAGAATTCAGTGTTTATTTGGCTGGCATAATTGCGGCAGAAATTTCTACATATTAAGATGAACCTGGACTTCAGATGTGGCTTTTTACACACCCAAGATATCTTTCTGAAATCCATCACACTTTGCAATCTGCAGCCTTGCTATACTGCAGAAAATCTTGCATATCGCATCGAAACATATAAATCTTGAGAAGAAATTTAGTGTGGCAGCTAACACAAACAGCCCAGTACTCTTTGAAATGTTGTCAATAGAGATATAGAGAATATTTTCACCTTAAATATCATTGAGAACATTTTTACCATTAAATAATTGTCGCCCCATCTAAACAATATAGTTCTTACAGTTACATATTTGAAAATTGTACTTACTGAATTCGTTCAATTTCAAAATGTTGTGGACTGATTTTCTTCCATTCCCCACCGAGATATTTTCGACATAAATTATAGCCGAAATCTTTGATCTTAGCGTCAACCATTTTTCCAGTAAGAAAATAATTTTTCAAACTACGCAGAGCTTTGTAGCCAAGCATGGTCGAAACCAGCCAAGCAACAACGCAGTCATTTTAGCGATGGCTTGAGAAATGTGTCGAATTTACTCAGGAAATGACAACAATCACTGATTCTACGATCGTTGAAGGTCGATCATGAGGTCGTTCGGTAAAATGAGGTGTAAAATTGCAAGAACTTTGCACAAAGTACATGCAACAAATGACATGATTCAACGTAAACAAAGCTTTAGCCATGTAATACTTATTCATTCGTGGACAGAAGGCGGTCTACCATTTCCTGTTATGAAGTGACGTGTAAACTACATCCGTCAATCTCACAATATCATATCCAACAAAACTATCGTGAAAACGCAGAGCCAAAGGACTTCTAGAAAACGATTAACATGGTCATGAAATGTGCTTTTGACTCTGAAAATGACTACCGCTAAGGTTGTCGAAACGTCAGTCAACAACAACAAAAACAGTCCTTCTCAAGACTATACCATCCTGGACGATCTACATTTACAAACATGTAACGATACTCCCGGGTTCAAACCATTTACTTGAAATGTGCATTGCTTACAGTAATAATATTAAGTAATTAAATTATCATCGTTTATTAATAATGGTAATATTACAAATGATTAGTGATAGCAAAAAATGTACTGCAACCAGTGGCGTAGCTAACAATTACTTTAGACGGTGCAGATAGATAAATTTTTCTACAACAGGGCGTGACAATTTGGGCATGGCTAAAAGAAATGTATTTTTTAAAAATGGGGTTTAAAAACTGTGTACAAATGAATATACATAAGGATATACCATTTGCTTAAAAAGGGTAAAAAGCTATTTAAGAAATAGAATGGGTCAAGGTCGGCTTAGCTCTTTGTGTAGAATATCTATTCACAAAGATATCATTGAAAAGAAAGAGGAATCAGAGGTGTTGCATAACGAGGTGGTTGAAAAATTTGTAGAAAAACCCAGGAGGCTGGCCTTTCTTTATAAATGATGAGTATAGTATGTATTTTGATATTTGTTCGTATAATACATGGTACTTCATTGAGAAAATTAAGCATAACTTTAAAGAATAAAGCCATCCCTTTCTACTTGCCCCAATCTAAACAAGTTTAAACTAACAAGTAGAATGCTAAGAAAAATCTCTCTCTATGCACTTTAGAAGTGTCGTATACTATATTATTTTTTGTGCTAATACAAATTTCTTCTGTTTATGCATGGGCAGTGATGAGTAAATTATGTTTTAGGGGACAATTGTCTCCTGCGTAACGTTTCTCTGAGCCACCTTTAGTACCTTTTTAACTAGTTGCAGTTTCAACGATTGCCACATTAAGAATGCAGCTAACAAAAATGGGTTTTTATAAATTATTGTACAACAAATAATTCGCCCTCGAAATCGCAGGAAATGCTGTTTCAAAGGCTCTGGATTTCAAAATTTTCCGGGGGAGCATGCCCCCGGACCCCCCCATTGTGGGGTCGCGCCTCCGCCGCGAGATGGATTGGCGGGAGTGACTATTTTTCCTAGCTACGCCACTGGTCGGCAGCCAATCTTGCAGCATTTATAATTATATGATTTACAAACTTTAGATATATTATGAGTATAACTTACATTCTTCCACCATTGAAGAACTGCTTGTTCTTGGTAAAACTGTTGATATGTCATTTTCCAATGCATTGAATTTTTACAATAGGCTTGGCCTTCAATCTAATATTTTGTCAGTGTCAAGTTGACAACATATCTAAAGTTGCAGCTATCTGAATAATTCTTCAATGATTAATACTTGGTTATTAAGTATGAATGATTTCAACAAAAACCGCCATAAACTACTTTAAATGTAATATATGTGTTAATTTGGATATGTATGATAAACACAAATCATAAAATTCCAAAGCTTTAGTGACATACTTTAATGTTGACAGCAGAGAACTTCGACTCCAAGAGCACATTCAAGTGAGCATACATAGAAATAAAGACTTGTGAATTCAGCGTCCACTTCGTTCAAACACAATCAACTCTTTGTCATTCGAACTTTCGTGAGATTTTTCTTTGAGATCATATTCAAGCACCACATATATTACTCTTGTAAACCAGTTAAATGAGAAGAAGGTTAAGTAAGGAAAGAGGTTTTGTAAAGAGAAGGAGCTTATTTTGAATAATTTGTTTATTTTGAAAAAACACAACGTTCTATATAAACGTGTAAGTCTTATTAAAAGTGAGAAACCATATCATGCCATGAAGAAATGGGTTGCAAGGACTGATACGGACGCACATTAAAAGTGCCGCAAATGTCCAAGCGATAATAAAGCTTCTGTCAGTCAAGTCAACCCCTCCTACTCGTGGTGCAGCCTGTGTTCGGCTAACGGGGCTCTGGCGACGGGCGAGTTTCCGGCGGAAAAACGCCAGCAAAGGGCGCTCACGGATTAACTGTGTCGACAGCCTCTCCCTGCAACCGCCTAGTTTAACAGTCGTCACGATCCTTTGTGCCACTGAAGATGGAACCGCGTGGCCAAGCCAATAGAACATGGCCTGCACAACCATGCTCTTCTCACTGTGCACGCAGTCTGCAACCAGTTGCAGACAGCCTTCGTCGATTTGACGGGCAGCATCTCTCTCCATGAAGAATAATGTATAATAATTACAAAATATCTCTTTAAAGAAGGCAGCTAACAAAATGGTAAAACTAAAAAAAGATTCAGTTATTTTGAGTATGATTTGACGATATCAGCTTCATTTAGATAAACATGTTAAAAACTGACATTTCCTCCATTTCATTGATTGAAACAATATTTTTTATTACTTCATGAAATTAACACAATTTTTTGCATATTTGCTCATAAACAAACATATTTTTACGTGACGTATTGATAGATATATTGATCATTGTCATGAAATTATTAATTTTTATGAAAAGTCTTCATGGTTTAATTTTCATTTCACTGGATTTCACGTTACTAAAATCACGCCAATAATTACTCTTACCATTTAGGTTGGAATAATAACAATTATTATACCACCAAGCACCTTTCCAAGAAGTAGCGCAATTTCCACTTCTATCTTTATCATTATCTGAATCTTTGGTTGAAAACTTCATGTTATTGTGATAAGATAATCTATCCACAACATTTCCTAAAAAGTAGAAATAGTTTTATAGTTTTCTGGTGATTTGTATTTTAAAAACGTACAAGACACTGTTCAGATCATTCTGTCATTATTCACAGTAAACTTTATACGCAACATTCCATGCATTTAATGATGCATTTATATTATATTAAGAGTATTTACTAAACTTTTTTTTTCGTGGTTGGCTTGATTCAAACACACAGGAATGAAAACAGAGTTAAGAAAAGCATTGTGATTTATTTACACCACTTTTTTACGAAAGAATATTCCCAAGTCTTTAGATATGGTAATCCAACACTTCAAAAGAAATTGTTATATGAAGTAACAATAAATCATCTTCATTCTCAGACATGTTTAAAATTAACGCACAGCAATTTAAATTTTCGTCTTTATATTGCCTGATTCAAGCACACGCATCGACCAAACAGAGGACGAATTATAATTTTCTTATTTTATAAATTTCTTGCTGCAGGCATACATTTTTGCATGCTTTGCAAGAAAACATCTTTTCATATCATTAAAAATTACAAATAAACCGCTCTTTTTTGCGTTATACTTTTTCCAGATTACACATAGGAAAAACAAGAGCAAAGGCAAGCAAAAGTGCTCAGGCCTGTTTCAGATGTCGCATTTACATGAGCCGAATGCATTCAAAACAAACATAGATGATTATTTTTATCGCATTTTCTTTTGTTTTAAATGCGTTCGACACATGTAAAATGTAACGTTTTAGACGGGCTGTAGAAATACGAGCTTTGCTAATAGATAACATTCAGATAATTATTATCTTCCTGAGGAATACTATTTGTCTTTAAAGTTACTGAATATCCTGCTCTTCAAAATGATCTTGCTAATGCATTGTACATTGTCTAAATGTAAAGTATAATGCATTGTATATTGTCTTTCTTGTGGTTGACATTTCAAACGATACATTTCGTTACCCTTAGGGCCTGTTCATATGAGACGGGCCAGTCCGCTTAAGCCGTGCTAGTTAGTTTCCCGGGCCAATGTGTATTCGCATTCATATGAGGCGGCCTGGCCCGGCTGAAATGTTGTATTTAATTTCTGCCAACAAATATTGTATTTTGCGGGAAAATTAAATTGTGTTGAGACTCAAAGATTTTACAATCTGATTGCTACCATTAAGTTCCGCCGACTATTTTAGTGGTATAACATGAAATTTTCAAACTTATTTTCAATTACACATTGTTGTTTTGAAGTTTTTGCCATATTTAAATAACAAATAAGACAAGAGCATGCGCAGTCTCATCTCTTCCAGGCCGGCTTAGCCCGGCTGGCCCGATTGATGCAGTTATATGAGCCCGTTAGAACTTCGCTTCCTTCAAGCGGATCTCGCCAAGCCGGTCTGGCCCGCTCTTCATATGAACGCAATTTCGAAAAAATTGTAAAATAATATACGAGGCGAGATCTCGGCAAAGCTACCTAGCCTTACTTAAGCGGGCTGGCCCGTCTCATATGAACAGGCCCTAAGGTACAATCTCTCAACGCAATTTGCTATCACAAACACTCATTTTCTTCAATATTTTCTTACCTGTGTATTTTCCAATACTTAATTGATACTTAGAATTTTCATCCTTTACGACAAAATCTTCATATTCAGCGTATTTTTTAGTGCCTGACGTGTTTACTAGATCAATTCGAAGTTTATTTTTCTTTGCAGATGTTAGTCGATGTATCTTGTCCAATCCAAGCCAGAATTCGGATTTAAGATTACCAAAGCCACGTTTATACTCCGCCCAACCCAGATAAAAGTCTGTATTTCCATTTTTTATATGTCTTTGAATTACAGTCCACCCACCACCAGATGACGTCTGTCACAGAAGACCTCAAAGTATCCTTTACCATCAGGATCAATTTGAAAAACTCCGCTAGTTTTTTCAAAATTTTCTGTACAAATCTGTGCAGTCTTTTCCTGATGGTTATAAAAATATTAACTAACACAAAGAAATTAAATGAAAGATATTGTTTTAATTGAACAAATATTACTCCTTACTCGATTCTATAAGTGTCTTTTCTTTCTTTAAAATCATTCTTACCTCTTTTCAAGTTATTTGTAAGTTTTTCATTTTCCATGTAAAGTGTTTTCATTTGCTTTTCAAGACTTTTCAACTCCGTTTGTAATGTTGCCCTTTGTGCATCAAGTTTTTTCATTTGTGACGACAGATCAATCATTTTCAATTCGACTTTCTTAATTTTTTGTTGTAGTTTCACTATCGTATATTTTTGTACTTCTGTCCTATTGATTTTGTGTTTAAGAGTTAACTTAAATGTTTGTAGATGTTTTTTCTCCGTCTGTAAATTTTTGTGATATGTTTGAAGTGTTTTTATTTGTCTGTCTATTACTGCAATTTGTGTTTTCAAAGTTGCATTGTTTTGACCGGATTTCATGGTGCGTTTCATGTCATGGCTGAATGTTGAGTTGAAATCTTTTAAATAATCTTCCTTTACGTTTGTTAATCTCACTCTGCAAAAGTAAGAACATTAAAGTGAGTCATGGAAAAGTTTTCAGATGAAATATTTCACACTATGAACAAGGAATTGAGGCAGACTAATATTAAATACCTACATGACATAGCTAACGACTTACTAAAAATGTGTAAAGCATATAAAAGTCTTACTCCTCCCATACACAATTTAAACAAGAAAAACTTTGCTTGAGCTAATTTGAAAAATCCTTAGTTTACGGTATCGTAACTTGCAAAGCTTTGATCATGTTTGTATACTGCCCCAGCTTTGAATATTAACTACAACTCGACAACATGTTCAAAAAGATTATTCAAATTTAAAAAGAAATACGCCTTAGAGGCGTTTCTAATATAGTCTTCATAGCGTTCAATGATCACATTAAACATTTCCAAGTTCTTCTTTGCCCTAAAACATAGCTTACCCTTGAATATTAACAACGATGGAGGTAATCACCACCAATGCACAAATAAAGCTCACCATCTTGTCTTGTCTCAAATGTCTTACAAGTAAACACTTTAGGTTGAGATGAGGATCCAGGCTATTTATATATGTGTGTGTCCATCATGAACAAATTGTGAGGATAATGAAGCCTTTACAAAGTTACGCAGACTAATTTATTTCAGCATGTAATTGAACTGCTTTAAATAGTTTAAATATGTTGAACAGTTTGCACACATAGCCACAAACTGGACATTGTTTTAATTTTAAAATCGAATTCACTCAACATGGAAGAAGTTTACTAAACTGACTCAAAACTTAAAACTCGGTAGTTTTGAAAGATTTTGCAACATAACATTTACTATTTAATAACAGGCCTTTATTTATCGTAAAACAACAACACTAGCTAATTAATATAGAATTAATGAATAAAGACGTACGTATTGTGATCTTGTGTTAACAAGCTGTTAATTACGTTGTACTTCATTGATAGTTTGCTTGCGATGTTATAGATTTTTTTTAAAAAGAAGTTTAAAAATAATGAAGAGTTGTAATAATAGATAGCACAAGGCATTGCAGTGAGCACTGTGTTTTGCTAAAAAAAAGGACCAATATTATCAAAAATTTCCAATTAAATGCTCTTCATGACGGCACCCTATAAGGGAGCGACATCCAAAACAAAGCTTGCATTGATATAAAGACTGTTAATAAAAAATTGAAAAGATTTAACAGTATCCTTTGACAATTCTATTTTCATCGTTTGAATAGGATCCAGCAAAATGTGTGTTAAAGAGCACGTATACTGTATGTTGTTGATGTTAAGAAATAACAATGTTTTGGATAGTGCTTGACATTGGTTGTTGTAGGGTCACCTTAATTTAAAAATTTTACATCAGCTACTTTCTTTTTGAAGAAACACTTAGCTGTTTAAATGCACTTGTTGAACTGATTGGAGACTTAGCAGCGTGGAGCGCCCTATACGTCAGAGGAAATTACTTTTTACGTCATATCATCAAAAAAATTTGAGCTTGCTGTTTACAAAATTAAAGTTATGTTCAATGTTTATTTTACACAGCATGGCATTTAAAAACAATAAAAAACACGCACAATTTTTTTTTCTCGATAATTTTGAAAGTGATATGGAAGGCAATCCAACCAATATCAATTCGTAATAAATTAAATGGTTTGAACCCGAGAGTATCGTTACATGTTTGTGGATGTAGATCGTCCAAGCTATTAGAGTCCTGAGAAGGACTATTGTTGTTGATGTTAATTGACGTTTTGACAAACGTATAGTGGTAAGCCATTTCAGTTTTTAGCCAGAATAGTCGGCTAATGAAGATCAAGAAGGTTACCAGTCAATTGAGAATAGGAATTTGAGTATGTTGATCATCAGCATTAACCAAGCCTCAACAGTTGATGACGAACCATGGTGTGCAATTCTACAATAATGAGTTAAAAATAAGAGTAACGTTGACAGATGTTTTGTAATTAAAGTGATGCAAGGTTGGATCAGCGCCCACTGTCAAAATAAATTATAAGTGAATTTGATGAAGCTATACGGTATGTTTGTTTGAATAAAGTGAATCGTTAAAATAATTCGACGTCTGCCATAAGAAAAACCGGCTACCACTTTCACATGTGCACGACGGACAAGTTTTTTTTGCAATAATAAGTTTTGAACCATTACAAAAGTTTCGTCGAAATAAAAATTTCATTATATATATTTGTTATGACTGAATATATAAGAGCATGTAGATCCAATCAGGCTTTAGCATGCATGTTCTCTGTTATATATTAGCCATACAAACATACCAAGCTTCATTGCATTCAAGATTTACTTGAATACAATTAACTCGTGTAACGCTAACGAAGTACATATTTGCAAGAGATAAACAATTTGTAATTATGGAAAGTGTAAGTTATACACATAATCAAAACATAAGTTATAAGCTAGGTGCTTAGAACTTCAAGTGTATGTATATAAGAACCTGTTCATATGAGCCGGGCTGGCCCGCTTTACCGAGCTAGCCCGCAGTAGCAAGATCTCCCCTCTTTTAGTATTTATATATAATTTTAAATTTGATTCATATGAGCGAAGGGCTGGCCCGTTTTGCCGGGATGTCCCTTAAACGGGGCAAGATCTCGGCATAAAATGGGTTCACGTGAATGCACAAGGCGGGCTAGACCGGCATGCGGAATTAAACATCCTATTAGTGCGCATGCTCATAAAATTCAATGCGATGCAAAAGATAGGGCAAGCAAAAGAACAACTTTCGGTGGACTATAGATTAATAAATAACATCGTTGAGTTTCTTTAAGCTTATAAAAGTAACATAAAGTATCGGGATTTAGACTTTTATGCGGCGTGCGTAAATAACTATTACTGTACATTGTTGGGCTAGCACGCCTCATGTAAATAAAATAATAAACTGGTCCGGCAAAGTCGGCCAGCCGGCTCATATGAACAGGCCCTAAACTAATAATAGTTCATTATTTATTGACATCACGTTTCTTTGACATAAAGGCAGCCGTCTTATTATGTCACCGACCAACGAAAAAGCAGATTTTGCCATTTTATGATATGCGATCGATATCCACAAGTTTGGAGTGAGGACAAGATCATGAAAGCTCTATTCATGTATGTGAGTATTCATGAAGAATAGGTTGGTTTCAGCTGATAATAAAAGAGTTTAATTATTTGAGATCTAATAGGTAGCCATTTTATGCTCGAAGTTTCGTCCAATGAATTTGCACTATTACAAGTTCTGCTTTACTATGCAAAGGTTAAAAGACGAATTTTGCGCCACTATTTTATTGTATATAGTCAAACCTTGATGTAAATCAACTTGCACAAAAAGATTTCTTTTGTCTTTAGTATGAAAAGCAATTTTACTATTTATAAGGAACAACAGACACAACAGTTTGTCTACAATTTAAAACTGACAATATTGCATCATATGTTTGGAATTTGTAGTTAATTACACATCCTGTTGTTTACTTATTTGATATTTTGTTGTATAAAATACAACAAATTTACAAAGTATATAAATTTCTATGCCTAAAACTCAACCCAACTGTTTTTCTGTCGACAAGTGATAGCTATATATTCTGGTTTTCACATTCTGTCTCAGCACTCAGTTAAATTAAGTAATTTATTCATACACGACTTAAAAAGAAACCTTTAAAACGTGACACTCGATGCAGATCATTCTATATTTTGTGTACTTACTTTTGATGCAGTAAAATCGATTACAAGCTGTATTTCGCCGTTGACCATTCTTAAAACAATTTACGTTGCAGCTATATTGAACCAAACTGGCAATAGTTCGCCCCAGCTGTCTCCAGTATAAAAATTATATAAATATAACTCTATTATCCCGAACAGCAATTTTATTGTTAATATCAACTTTGCACGTACATTGAAGGAAATTGCTGTGTCATAACGAACAACACATGAAATTACGAACATGTTACCGTTATCAACACGAATTTTTGAAACTTCTACTTTAAAATAATAAATGGGCAGGACATTATTTTTTGAACGTGGCCAAAATGAGAAAAATGTTTTATTTCAGTTCGTATCGCCAGCATGCTCATATAATCCTGCTGTCAATCTCTCTGTGTTTATACTCATGGCAAAAACAATTAATTTGTATAGACATAAATAAGTATGATAAAAAGCTGGACTAAAACTTGAGAACTAAAAAACTAAACATCAGTTGAAACATAGCTACCATCAAGGTATGTAGCTATAAACTTCTACCTCACAAATTGACCGAAATTATCCATTTCTAAAAGTAGCTTGTATTGATGTGCTTATTTTTGGTTTCAGCAAGCTATTGAAATTGATAAATAATTCATGCTTTAGTGTCAAAGTAACCGTACTAAACACAAACGTGGCATTTATAAAATATACGTTAGAATGATATTAGTTGAAGTAATTTCAGTTGTTGTATAGTTCTTGAAATGATTAATTTCTCACTAGTCTACAACATGTGTTTTTCTTTATGCATGTACGTTCATGCCTTATTTAAAACGTGATCTTTTTGAGAACCTGACATCGATGATCTAACTTTGAATTGGTTGAATTTGCCAGTATTGTATCGATTCTCTTGGCCTATGTAAGCCACACGACAATTTTGCTAGACGTTTAATAAGAATTTGTATTTTCAAAGTGATTGACAAATCATTCCTCTATAAAACTGAGATATTTCCTCTGCATCATGATGTTACGTTCTGGCAGAATCTTCTACACTAGTCCCACTGATATTCACAACATTTCTGAAGATTGCAGAGCGAGCATGCTGGGTACAATGGCTGGGTATTTCAATATAAAATTAATACGCATGCGCATCATTGCTTTTCTTTTTAGCGCGCTTTCGTCAACGAGAACGACGCTGACTATTTTTGCTTTAAATTACTCATTTCATTCCTAATGATTCGGAGATGACTTTAATCCACCAAGACAACGATAAACTGTTTCAGCAATGTGATTATTTTCTTCAACATTTATAATTTTGATTCGGTGTTGTAATGTTGTTTTATTTATTTGCTATTGGTAGAGGATAATTAAGCCACTGATATGTAAACTAAACTGGACTATTTATCCATGTACATATATAGTAGGCATTGTGAACAAAAACGCTTATCCCTACGGCAACAAAACTATTGAAGCCAAAATTAACCCATCCAGTCAAGAAATTGTTGACAAACAAAAGAAAAACAAGCGAAATATTACCACCGTGGCAGCAAGCCATTAATAGATCTCAACCCAGGAGAAACAGTGCGTATACGACCAGACCAGACGTGCAGGACATGAAGGAAACGAGTGTGTAACCAGAAGTTTGCACCCACGTCGTACCAAGTTATTTCGGAAGGCTAAATATGCAGACGGAACAGAAGACATCTGGCGTCCGTTAAAGAAAGGGAAAGATTGATAAAGAGCGTACCGAGGAAGAAAATGAACAATCTGAGTCCGAAGACCCAAATGAGCAACCGGTGCAGCCAAGTTCTCTACGCAAGACACGTCCACAAATGTCAGTATAGAAACCAATTAGGCACGACTAGAAACCGACACATCGGACACCTCAGTCAAAAGAAAACTTCTATAGGACATACATTACAATGAACGTTCTACATGTGATTACCAATTTTTATGAAAACTACTCTTAAGTCCTTCAAATTATAACCTTGTTTTGTTCCTTACGAGGAGATGGATGTAACGATATAAATTATCAAACATAGTACACCGGGCCTTTTGACCGGATGTACTGTAGTGTGGGGAGATTCTAGCGCCTTCTAAATTGTGTAAGTTTTCCTAGGACTACGTGCAATGATGGGGCTAAAACGTCGGTCCTTGGTGAGTCCTAGGTCAGGCTTGATGTGTTTACACTGGAGGCCTAGTCAGTCCTTGGTAAGTTACGAGACCGCAGTGTAAACGCGGTTTATATATGGTGTGCAACCATTCTCTTTGGAAGGAACAAGATTGCTGGCTAGCCAGATAATAAACAATTGTTTGGATGAGGTTGAGCATGATATCAAAAATTATTCAGACAAAAGTCAATGTTATCTGCAGAAGAAAAGCTGAGGCAGAACACGTTGCCGAGGTCTGAATAATTTTTAATATCATACCTACAAAAATCTAGTTCAATAATTATTTTATTATTCACTTTAACTAACTGAAATATTATTAACACATATCAATATAAAACATTTTTCAAACCTTCGTTAATTTTTTTGTCAGCTGGTTTATTCAAGTTCATCTTGTTTAAATATGTTGTAAGCACGTTCAAAGCCATCTTAGCCGCTTTTTTAGTGTTTTCTGGATGCTTCTTGTTTCAAAGCTTTTACATCGTTTTTAGAAACTGTGGAAAACATCGCTATGATTTGACTTTTTTTCAAAACCGGCTTTTAATGACGTCCATAATTGTAGAAACTGTTATTTGTAAATAGACGTTTTACCGACAGATATGTAGAATTATTTGCAGGAAGTTGACTAATCAAAAGCAACATTGCTTACATAGTGAATAACGATGTAAGATAATTGCATGAAATGCATGATACACCAAGATTGCGTGGAACGAGGCGAAAATATAGAATTATCTACATACAGAGCAATATCTAAGTAAAAAATGAGTGAAAAGACGTAAAATTAGAATCATATAATTACCTAAATCAGCTCTAATTTAGGGAAAATATTATTTCACCACAGCATTTTTATCAATTTTTTCAACGCTTTTTTAAATGATAATGATTATAAAGAATTTTTAAAAGACATAAAAGTTCTTTTTTATTATTATATGTTGGAAGTTTCATTAGAAATAATGATCAAATTTATAACATCACAGTCATTGGAAATTCTTTATGGTTTTATTTTCATCTCAGTGAACTTTAAGGATATAAAACGTTTCCAAGCATACCAAGTCACACCTTTGTTATTGTCTTGGTTGCCACTATAGTAGTGCCCATTCAGGTTAGAAGAATGACAGCTATTATACCACCAAGCACCTTTGTGGCGAAAAGCACAGTTTCCTTTATATTTATCTTTATCTGAATCTTTGGTTGAAAACGCCATGCCATTACGATAGGATAATGAATCTCCAGCATTTCCTACAAAAAGTAATATCTTTTAAAGATCGCATTTAATGCAGTTATAGAACTCTTTTAAACTTGCAGAAACTCCCCCCAAAAGGGTGTTTTGTCGTTGGTAGAAGGTTTTTATAGCAATCGTTTGTTTTGGGGGCTTTTGTGAGATTTGCCAATCATTTTTTTTTATTTTATGTAGTAAAAAAGGAAGGAATGATGTAAGTGTTAAAATATAATATGCAACACTGAGTTTTCATTTCACATATGGGAGCATGAGGGAGATCCAACCACAATAACATTATAATATTGTTACCGTTTGTCATAAAGTTGTTGTAGCTGACTTATTTAACAACTTGATGTAAATCCTGTTTCAAAATGGAATAAATAAATTGCAAAGGTAAAATTTGTCAACACTTTGACTTTGATCCTACTCTCATTTCCCAGAACATTATTTCTACATCCAGCCTTAACTCATTGCTCTAACTCCTGTGTTAAGTAATGAATGGGATTTAATTTTTATTATAATAGACCTTTAAAATTCTTTATTGACGTGATGATATACCTGTAGTTTTGTCCGAGACTTAATTTATATTTATGTTTTTCATTCTTCTATATGCAAATTTATCCACGTAAACTTGAATGAATTTCAGTAACGTTTATATATGTATAAATATATTATATATATTTATACATATTTATAAGGTTAAATAGTTGGAATGTTATGAAACAAAAAGAATAATAGCATAATGCTTTAACCAACAACTACAAACAATAACGACCTTATCTAACAACATTTGAAAATTTAACTTCCACTCCTCTTCCTTGTAAACAAGACAAGTCTACTCAAAAGCAGAGAGCCTTACTTACAAGTCCTGGGCTTGTGACCAGTATGGCAGTGTATAACTCTAGGACTAAAAGTAATAGGAGTGGAAGGTTAATTTTTCAAATCTTGTTAGATAAGGTCGTTATTGTTTATAGTTCTTGGACAGAGCATTATGCTATCATTTTTTTATTTATACATATATAAATAATCTGGGCATTGAGGCCTGAATTTACAATCATATATTACAGGCTTGCATGCATTTTATATAAAAGGTTTTAATGTTCATTTAAGTCCACATAATTTAGCAATGTTTCAGGCGCATGCTCATTACTTGTTTACAAAGCTTCAATTGAATTTTCATTTAATCTTAATGATACGGTAAGCACAATCCATGAATGATCTCTTATTGTAAGTCAAAAATTGTTGTTGTATGGTGCAACTTAATGATTCACACAACAAAATGATTTTTATGTTCGTTCAATGTATTTTGTTGTAAGTATGTAAGATCAAATTGATTTCATTTTTTAAGATCTAACAAGACTTCTGCTCAAAATCAACCGTTAAAATATCTATGTTTTTCCCAAAATTGCAGACCTGTCTACGCAAGCTCGAATCATTCCAACCTATAATGCATATATCAAAATATTGCTTAGAAATTTGTCCATCAAATGTTTATATTTACTTATTGACTCACCAGAATATGCACCAAGACTTAACTGATATTTATGTGTTTCATTCTTTACAGCAAAATAATCATATTCAGCATATGCTTTGTTTCCTGACCAGTCTCCCAAGTCAACACGAAGTTTATTTCTCTTGGCTGATGTTAGTCGGTATATTTTATCCAATCCAAGCCAGAATTCAGAAGTAAGATTACCAAATCCTTGTGTATAGTTTTTCCAATTTCGATAAAAGTCTACACTTCCATCTTGACGTCTTTGAAACACAGTCCAACCTCCACCAGATGTCTTCATATCACAGAAAACATCGAAATAACCCTGGCCATCTGGATCAATTTGATAAACTCCGTTCTTTTTTTTACCTTTTTTGTAAAGATCTGCACAGTTTTTTCCCTGAAAAAAAGTTTTGTTAAAAAAGCTATTGCATTGTACGTCTTATGGGTTTTGTAACTCATTAAACCTATACTACTAGCAAATTGCTACACAGCTTTTCCGCGCATAGATCCATTTTGCTAAATAACTATTTTGTACATTATATACCGAAGTTGTTTTCGATTATATAAACTCAACACAGTTTAATTCAATAGAAAAAATTAACAATATAAAATAGCAAGTTTTCAGATATGAGTAACTTTCATAATAACATTTTAGAATTCCTTATATGGTCATAAACGTGTAGTTGTTTACGTTCTCTATCTCTGGAGTTAATCTCAATGCTGACTCAACATTTTTAGTCCTGTTTTATACCACAGGAACACCTACCAACTCGCTCGATTTTATTGGCTTCACCTAAATCTTAAGACAAATCTTCTAAACGCCAGATTTTCAATCACTTTCACCCTTCTTTATTGACATGTAGATGGTGAAAAAACTTTGAACAAATCAGGTTGGACTGGGTATTTAATATCCATAAATATTTATACATTTTATATGTTATGCACCCAAATTTTCCACGCATTTATTTTTCATGAACAAGAAGTCCACTTGGGTTTTCTCTGTTTGCTTTTTCTTACAAAATTCCCTTTTATGAATTCTTCTGTTTATAAGTGCGTTTGTTATTACAATTCTCAATTAAACACTTACTCAGACTTGATTCGTTAAAATTTTTTTACCAAATACATGTGATACGAAAAATTTCAAGCAGGAGAAGTGATTAAATCTCTGGTTAACTGAACATTTGCTTTAAGATTTAGATGACAGTCTACAAATTTGGGGAACTGGCAGGTCTGCCTTCCTATGATATCATGGTAAAAAAAACATTAATTGATGCTTTATAAACAAGCGACTGAAATAAACAGTGTAGCTTACTTTTTTCCTCATATCATGCCAGTCTATGTTTTGATAACTTTTCATACATAAATTATGCCTCTCTAACCCTTTCCTAAACATTCGAAATTAGCTACCGCATTGCTTTCTTTGTTAAAACAAGGAGGTCACAAAAAGAACAGTTAAATGCACTGACGAAGAGATATTTTTCAAAAAAATCTTTATTTCTAGGTATTTAATTGCCATATAATTTATGAATGAAAAAAATGCATTAAATTGGTTGATGTTTTGCTTGCTTACCATGTATATTCCATTGTGTCTTATACTTTTTCTGTAAAGATCTGCGCAATCTTTTCCTGATGGTTATAAAAATATTGGTTAACACAAAGAAATTAAATGAAAGATATTGTTTTAATTGAACAAATATTACTCCTTACTCGAATCTATAAGTGTATTTTCTTTTTTTAAAATCATTCTTACCTTTTTCCGAGATATTTGTAAGATTTTCATTTTCCATGTAAAGTGTTTTCAATTGTTTTTCAAGACTTTTCAACTCGGTTTGTAATGTTGCCATTTATGCATCAAGTTTTTTCATTTGTGACGACAGATCAATCATTTTCAATTCGACTTTCTTAATTTTTTGTTGTAGTTTCACTAGTGTATATTTTTGTACTTCTGTCCTATTGATTTTGTGTTTAAGAATTAACTTAAATGTTTGAAGATGTTTTTTCTCCGTCTGTAGATTTTTGTGATATGTTTGAAGTGTTTTTATTTGTCTGTCTATTGCTGCAATTTGTGATTTCAAAGTTGCATTGTTTTCATCGGATTTTATGGCGCGTTTCATGTCATGGCTGAATTTTGAGTAGAAATCTTTTAAATCATCTTCCTTTTCATTTGTTAATCTCACTCTGCAAAAGTAAGAACATTAAAGTGAGTCATGGAAAAGTTTTCAGATGAAATATTTCACACTATGAACAAGGAATTGAGGCAGATTTATATTAAATACGTACATGACATAGCTAACAACCTACTAAAAAGATGTAATGCATATAAAAGTCTTACTCCTCCCATACACAACTTGAATAAAAAAAACACTTTGTTGAGCTAATTTGAAAAATCCTTAGTTTACGGTATCGTAGCTTGCAAAGCTTTGATCATATTTGTATAGTGCCCCAGCACTGAATATTAACTACAACTCGACAACTTGTGCAAAAAGATTATTCAAATTTAAAAAGAAATACGCCTTAGAGGCGTTTCTAATATAGTCTTCATAGCGTTCAATGATCACATTAAACATTTCCAAGTTCTTCTTTGCCCTAAAACATAGCTTACCCTTGAATATTAACAACGATGCAGGTAATCGCCACCAATGCACAAATAAAGCTCACCATCTTGTCTTGTCTTAAATGTCTTACAAATAAACACTTTAGGTTGAGATGAGGATCGAGGCTATTTATATACGTGGGTGTCCAGCATGAATAAATTGTGAGGATAAAGAAGCCTTTACAAAGTTACACAGACTAATTTATTTCAGCATGTAATTGAACTGCTTTAAATATTTTAAATATGTCGAACAATTTGCACACATAGCCACAAACTGGACATTGTTTTAATTTTAAAGTCGAATTCACTAAACATGGAAGAAGTTTACAAAACTGACTCAAAACTTAAAACTCGGTAGTTTTGAAGGATTTTGCAACATAACATTTACTCTTTAATAAATAGGCCTTTATTTATCATAAAACAACAACACTAGCTGATTAATATAGAATTAATGAATAAAGACTTATTGTGAAAGTGTGGTAACAAGCTGTTAAATACGTTGTACTTCATTGATAGCTTGCTCGCGATGTTATAGATTTTTTAATAAAAAAAAGTTTAAAAATAATGAAGAGTTTTAATAATAGATAGCACAAGGCATTGCAGTGAGCACTGTGTTTTGCTAAAAAAAAAAGCACCAATATTATCAAAAATTTCCAATTAAATGCTCTTCGTGACGCCACTCTATAAGGGAGCGACATCCAAAACAAAGCTTGCATTGATATAAAGACTGTTAATTAAAAATTGAAAAGATTTAACAGTATCCTTTGACAATTCTATTTTCATCGTTTGAATAGGATTCAGCAAAATGTGTGTTAAAGAGTACGTATGCTGTATGTTGTTGATGTTAGGAAATAACAATGTTTTGGATACTGCTTGATATTGGTTGTTGTAGGGTCGACTTAATTTAAAAACTTTACATCAGCTACTTTCTTTTTGAAGAAACACTTAGCTATTTAAATGCACTTGTTGAACTGATTGGAGACTTAGCAGCGTGGAGCGCCGTATACGTCAGAGGAAATTACTTTTTACGTCATATCATAAAAAAATTTGAGCTTGCTGTTTACAAAATTAAAGTTATGTTCAATGTTTATGTTACACAGCATGGCATTTAAAAACAATAAAAAAACACGTACGATTTGTTTTCTCGATAATTTTGAAAGTGATATGGAAGGCAATCCAACCAATATCATTCGTAATAAATTAAATGGTTTGAACTCGAGAGTATCGTTATATGTTTGTAGATGTAGATCGTCCAAGCTAGTAGAGCCTTGAGAAAGACTGTTATTGTTGATGTTAATTGACGTTTTGACAACCGTATAGTGGTAAGCCATTTCAGTTTTTAAACAGAATAGTCGACTAATGAAGACCAAGAAGGTTACCAGTCAAATGAGAATAGGAATTTGAGTATGTTGACCATCAGCATTAACCAAGCCTCAACAGTTGATGACGAACCATGGTGTGCCATTCTACAATGATGAGTTAAAAATAAGAGTAACGTTGACAGATGTTTTGTAATTATAGAGATGCAAGGTTGGATCAGCGCCCACAGTCAAAGTAAATTATAAAGAAATTCGATCAAGCTATACGTAAGTATGTTTGTTTAAATAAAGTGCAACGTTACAATAACTCGACGTCTACCGTAAGAAAAACCGGCTACCACTTTCACATGTGCACGACGGACAAGTTTTTTTTTTGCAATAATAAGTTTTGAACCATTACAAGAGTTTCGTCAAAATAAAACTTTGATTATATATCTTTGTTATGACTGAATATGTAAGAACACCTAGATCCAATCAGACGTTAACATGCATGTTCTCTTTTACATAGTAGCCATGCCAACATACCAAGTTTCATTGCATTCAAGATTTACTTGAATACAATTAACTCGTGTAAAGCTAATGAAACACTTATTTGCAAGAGAAAAACAATTTGTAATTATAGAAAGTGTAAGTTATACACATAATCTAAACATAAGTTATAAACTGGGTGCTTAGAACTTTAAGTGTATGTATATAAGGGCCTGTTCATATGAGCCAGGCTGGCCCGCTTTACCGAGCTAGCCCGGCAGTAGCAAGATCTCGCCTCTTTTAGTATTTACATATAATTTCAAATTTGATTCATATGACAGACGGGCTGGCCCGTTTTGCCTGGATGTCGCTTAAACGAGGCGCGATCTCGTCATAAACGGGCTCATGTGAATGCACAAGGCGGGCTAGACCGGCATGCCGAGTTAAACATCGTACTAGTGCGCATGCTCATAAAATTCCATGCGATGCAAAATACAAGGCAAGCAAAAGAACAACTTTCGGTGGACCATAGACTAATGCATAACATCATTGACTTTCTTTCAGCTTATAAAGTAACATAAAGTATCGGGATTTGGACTTTTATGCTGCGTGCGTAAATAATTATTTCTGTACTTAGTCGGGCTAGCCCGCGTCATGTGAATCAAATAATAAACTTGCCCGGCTCATATAAACAGGCCCTAAATTAATAATAATTCATTATTTATTGACATCACATTTTTTTGACATAAAGGCACCCGTCATACTATGTCAGAGGTAAAATTTACTCAGCAAACGTACCTTTAACTTCATCAACAAGATGCCTTTATTTTAACAGTTGGCGTTGATCTAATGGCAGTATAGAAATAAACAGTAGTTCCACTTTATAGAAATTTTTTGTGTAGCGCATATCTTATTACGCATGTAATAAGCATAGTGGCAGCCAGTAATTTGCACTTTCTGACCATTAGGAGCGCTAAGGTGGCCAGTCGCAGCCAGTAATTTAATTAAATATACAGCACAAAGTTATACGGTAAAGTGAGACTACTGTTTCTTTGTATAGACCAATTGCACCTAGGTCACTCACATCCTAGCAATCGTTGCTAAGGCGCATCTGGAGGACAAGCATCAGCACTGACAGGCTGACAGCACATGCACATGTTTTAAATATAGTATGGCAAATCTTTTCCGAAAACCTATAAAGCCAAGAAAAGCTTGCTTTCTGGCTACGCGAACTCATTTGTTTCTGCAGACTGTGAAGAACAGTAGTCGGTAGCCAATCTTGCAGCATTTGTAATTATAGGATTTACAAACTTTAGATATATTATGAGTACAACTTACATTCTCCCACCTTTGAAGAACTGCTTATCCCTGGTAAAACTGTTGATATGTCGTTTTCAAATGCATTGAATTTTTACAATAGGCTTGGCCTTCAATCTAATATTTTGTCAGTGTCAAGTTGACAACAAATCTAAAGTTAGAGCTATCTGAATAATTCTTCAATGATTAATACTTGGTTACTAAGTATGAATGATTTCAACAAAATACCGCCATGAACTACTTTAAATATAATATATATGTTAATTTGGATATGCATGATAAACACAAATCATGAAATTCGAACGCTCTAGTGACATACTTTAATGTTGACAGCAGAGAACTTTGACTCCAAGAGAACATTCAAGTGAGCATACATAGAAACAGAGACTTGTGAATTCAGCGTCCACTTCGTTCAAACACAATCAACACTTTATCATTTGAACTTTCGTGAGATTGTTCTTTGAGATCATATTAAAGCACCACATATATTGCTGTTGTAAACCAGTTAAATGCGATGTGGGTTTTGCGATTGTTGTTGTGTTAAGGGGTTTTATATTCTTGAATTGCAACTAACCTCTAGGGACTTATCGAACAATGTGGCTCGCCCAAGATGGCTGATGCCCCCAATAACACTAATAAAATGCTTTTAAACGTGTAACTGTGTAAGCATTAGTAATGTGAAAACTCGTTTTACGCCCACGAAGACGAAAACAGTCACATTACAAACTCAAAAAGCCGCAGTCGTTTTGAGTATGATTTGATTACATCAGCTTCATTTAGATAAACATGTTAGAAACTCATATTTCATCAACATCATTGATTGAAACAATATTTTTTATTACTTCATGAAATGATTATAGTTTTCTTGACTTCTATCTATACCAATTTTTTGCACATTTTCTCATAGTAAACAACGAGTGTAAATGTTTAAGACATATTACATGACGTATTGACATTGATATTGATCATTGTCATGAAATTATAAATATTTATGAAAATTCTTCATGGTTTGATTTTCATTTCACTGTTTTTCACGTTACCAAGACCTCTCCAATACATATTTTTGCCATTTAGGTTGGAATCGTAACATTCTTTATACCACCAAGCACCTTGCCAGGAAGCAGCGCAGTTTTCTACAAATTTGTCATTATCAGAATCTTTTGTTGAAAACGCCATGTCTTTATGATAGCTCAATGCATCCCAAACATTTCCTAAAAAGTAGTAATGGCTCTTGAGCTCTGTCGTGATCTGTATTTTAAAGTACACATGAACACATTTTGTGTTAATTATTCTGATAGATTACATGTTTGTAAATGTGTATCGTCCAGGTTGGTATAGTCTTGAGAAGAACTGTTATTGTTGTTGTTGACTGACGTTTCGACAACCTTAGCGGTAGTCATCTTCAGAGTCAACTTTTCTTCGCTAAGGTTGTCGAAACGCCAGTCAACAGCAACAAAAACAGTCCTTCTCAGGACTATACCAACTTGAACGATCTACATTTACAAACATGTAACGATACTCCCGGGTTCAAGCCATTTACTTTATTCTAATAGATCTTAAAAAAGTTATTCAGAAAATTCTAAATTTCATTTTGGGTATTTAAATTTCGGTGTTTCGACGGCCTAATTTAAACACAGGACTCGACCAAAAAGAGAACTCATTGAATTTATGTTATTTATAAAATTTCTTACTCCAGGCTTACAATTTTGCATGCTTTAAAAGAAAAAATCTTTTCATCTCACGGAAATTTACTAATATATACCGTTCCTTTTTGTGCTGTCGTGCTTGCATCATTCACTTCCTTGGTTATATAAAGACAAAACAAAAGAAATTGTACGTAAAAGTGCTTATATACGAGCGGTACTTGTAGATAATATTTAGACAATTTTTCATCTTTCGCAGGAAATTAAATTTTTCTTTTAAAATTATTCTTGATAATGTATTTTGAATTTTTTAGCTGTAAAGTTGGTATCTTTGTTGTGATTGACATTCTTTACGATCACTAGCAACGGAAACCTAAATATTTCTTCCCCCTTTTGCAGGTGCCAAGGTCTTTCTGCAAAAGCAAACTTTGATTTAAATAATTTAAAAGTTTAAAGCAGTGTTTCAACAAGACAAAAATACTTTTTTAATAATGCATCACTGTTTTTTAAGCTCAATTATGAGTTGAAAAGTAAAGAAATACACAAAAATGCATTTTTCTAATATTACCCTATTTACAATCGAAATACAAATTGTGTCGACTTTGTCATTATTTCACTTTACTATCTTTTCAAGTGGACACCAATTAAGATACAATCTGTCGTTCCAAACTACTATCACTTGCATAATACTCATTTTTTAAACCATTTTCTTACCTGTGTAATTTCCAATATTCAATTGATATTTATGATTTTCATTCTTTACGTCAAAAACTTCATATTCAGCGTAACTTTCATTTACTGACTTGTGTACTAGATCAATTCGAAGTTTGTTTTTCTTTGCAGATGTTAGTCGATGTATCTTGTCCAATCCAAGCCAGAATTCGGATTTAAGATTACCAAAGCCACGTTTATACTGCACCCAACCCAGATAAAAGTCTGTATTTCCTTTGTATATATGTCTTTGAATTACAGTCCAACCACCACCCGATGACGTCATGTCACAGAAGACCTTAAAGTATCCTTTACCATCAGGATCTATTTCGTATAGTCCATTGTGTCTTACACTTTTTCTGTAAAGATCTGCGCAGTCTTTTCCTGGTAATACAGTTCAAAATTTGAGACAACCTTTTTAAACAAATCTTGGTTTTTACCAATAATGGTACATTGCTAAATGTTTGCCCTGTGTATAATACAAAACGTTTTAGAGTAAATGGTTTGAACCCGGGAGTATCGTTACATGTTTGTAAATGTAGATCGTCCATGTTGGTATAGTCCTGAGAAGGACTATTTTTGTTGTTGTTTACTGACGTTTCGACAACCTTAGCGGTAGTCATCTTCAAAAGCTATAGTGATGTAACAAAACGTATACTTATTCAGTTCATTCTTATACCTGTGAGTGTTTTATTTTCTTGATGAAGAAGCAATTTCTTTTTTCTTGTCGATACATAGATTTGATAAAAAGTCCATTTTCCTGTGAAGGCTTGTTTCTCTATACTACTTTTATTTGTTCTGTTGCTAATTTGGCAGTTTATCTCAAGATCTTTTGCATCAGATAAGAAATTGAAGCCAACACATTTCTCCTGTTGATGGCATTTCAAGGAACATTCAATGTGATTGTGAACAGCATGAGTTGAAATGATATCTTTTGGTGATAAAGTATCACCTTTAAAATAAAGAGCATAACAGGATCAACTACAAAAGATGTAAATAATGCACTAAAGTAACAAAGTCCATTTTCTAGTCAATACATGCATACAAAAATAAAATTTGCAAAATGAAACAAGACAGGCAGCAAAAGGGAGTACACAATTATCTTCATTTGTCAAAAATAACCAACATCATTCATGTTCAAACGAAAAGGAAAACATATTTTTGTACATATATTACATAGACGGGGTGATAACACAATGGCAGCTGTGATATTGCCTTAAATTTGCCACACTGTGTTTCCCATATAAACAATTATCAGTGAAGTTTTAGGTAGTTGTCACGACAACAACTACAACCAAAAACATGCAAAAGAAAGTTAATTTGTTCATAACATGCAATCCAGAAGACTTTTGTTGCTGCTGTTTATCTATGAATGTGAATATTCTTTCAATGTCTAGCGTCTAGAATTTGAAAACCAAACACATGTATGAAATAAAGAAGACGAATTATGCAGCTAATTCTCTATTCAATCAATTGAATGCCGAATTAAAAGAGTTATTTTAGATGTTATACTAAGCTGTATCTATTTTGTACTTTGGAAAACATTTAAAGAAACCAAATTAAGACGATATCACGGACGTCTCATATAAATTAAATGAATTATTTTTTCATATTATATCATATGGAAAGTGTCGCTTTTGTTATTTAGCGTGTTTTGATTGGCGCTGAAAAATTTTTGCTGGTCCATTATTTTTCCGTTATTCTAGCTGTCAAAGCTAGATAGAAAGCTTTGTTTCAGGTCAAATAATGCCTGGAAATAAACCAACTAACCTCGTCTGCTCGGTGTTTACCGATAAATATTGAACCTCGAGCTTCATTAAAGGTTTAGCAAAAAATAGAGCTCCCTCGCGTTAAGTTAATTAATGACAAGAACGGAATATTAAAATAGAACTGTAAAAACTATAAAAGCTAAGCAACGACAAATGCACGTACGCGTTTCAAAACATATACGAGTTTTTTTTACATCCACAAAACCATGTACGATGTTGTTATCTTTTATACTGTAACATACCATTGTCTTTTATCTTCATAAAAACACTTTGTGAACTTTGACTAGCATTATTTGATGCATTGCAAAAAGCAACTAAAAGAAAAACTACAGAAACGCGCATCAACATCTTGCATAAAAGAGAGAAAATACTTTATGTTTGAAAAACGTTTTTGAGAACATTTATATAGCGACCGTCATAAAGAATAATGTATATTTTGTACATGCAGCTGTGTTTGATTTACCCAAATTGCATAAAAAAGCACTTTACGATATTTTGGGAAAGTTTTAAGGCGATAAAAGCGATTTATATTCAATTCCTAAAGGCGTAAGCTTGTAGAAACATTTTTGCTGGTTGACAATTGATAAATTGGATAAATTGGTGTATTAGTGAACATTGCCTTAAAACATTGTTCACACTAATAAACCAAAACTCAGTATTTCTACAAGTGGATTGTTGATTTAAGTGACCACTAGGTAAAATTTTCTTGATACAATATTTGTCGTGTTATCGCTTTGATGCATCCAAAATTTACATTCAGAAACTCTGCAACGTTATCCTTTTTTTAAAAAAGTGGCTAAACTAGCATGAAAGCAGGGGCGAAACTAGAACGTTATTGGGGAGGGGGGGAAGTGAATTTATATATCTAGACAACACAGATGTCTTATGTAAATTAAATACATTAATTTCTTTTATTTTATGGCTGGTGTCACTTCCAGTAAAGTAGCGTGCCTTCATTAGCTCAAAATCAGTTTTGTAGGTCCATTTTTGCAAACAAACGTAAACAATTTCGTAAAGCAAATATTTATAAAACGCAAAAAGTTAAGCAAAAAACAATGTACGGAATGAGTCGAGCTATAAGTCTCGGACTCTTGCCTGTTTTATAATTCTTATCAATGACACAATCACATGTATTTTTACTAACGATCAAACGTAAAGAATTGAAGGCCAAAAACAGCGAGAGCAACAATGCTAGATAGAACGCTTCGTTTTCGATTAGAAAAAACATATATGAAAAATACTAACTTCGCTTGTTCAGTTTTTGCTAATATATTTTGCCAGAACGGTATAAAATAGAAATGAGAAAGCTTTATTGCAATTAAACAACTACAAATGTAACCTGCAGGTACGCGTTTTAAAACATACTAGTTTTTTACATCCTCCAAAACATTTATTTTATCTTTTACTCTGTAGCTTACCGTTGTCTTTTGTCTTCATAAAAAAACTTTGTGAACTTTGACAAGCATTATTCGATGCATTGCAGATAGCAACTAAAAGAAAAACTACAGAAACGCGCATCAACATCTTGCATAAAAGAAAGAAAACACTTTATGTTTGAAAAACGTTTTTGAGAACATTTATATAGCCATCGTCATTAAGAAAAATATATATTGTGTACATACAGCTGTGTTTGATTTACCTAAATTGCATAAAAAAGCACTTTCCGATATTTTGGGAAAGTTTTAAGGCGATAAAAGCGATTTATATTCAATTCCTAAAGGAGTAAGCTTGTAGAAATATTTTTGCTGGTTGACAATTGACAAATTGGATAAATTGGTGTATTAGTGAACATTATCTTAAAACATTGTTCACACTAATTATATCCTATGTGATAGACAACGCATTAAGTTAAAACTACTAAGTTATTAATCATTAAGTACTCATGTGTCTTCGTTTCACATATCGTGGTTAATAATTGATTGCTAAAACCACCAGGTCTGTATTAATTAAAACGTAAAACTTTGCAAAATCATTTATAAATAAAGTAACTGTTAAAGACATCTTTAGACGATGTTGTTGTTTTTGTACTGTAACATACCATTGTCTTTTGTCTTCATAAAACCACTTTGTACGCTTTGACAAGCATTATGTGATGCATTGCAAAAAGCAACTAAAAGAAAAACTACAGAAACGCGCATCAATATCTTGCATAAAAAAAAAGTAAACACTTTGTGTTTGAAAACTTTTGACAACATTTATATAACCACCATCATGAAGAATAAAGTATATTTTGTGCATGCACAGCTGCATGTATGCTTTACTTAGATTGCATAATAAAGCCCTTTGGGTTTTTTTAGGCAATCGAGCTATAAGGCCATAAATGCCGATTTTTCTTTAATTCTATGAGGCGTAGTCTTGTAGAAATATTTCTTTCTTGAAGATAATTGATAAATTGGTGTATTGTGAACAGTATCTTAAAGAATCTACAAATTAATTTTACCTATGTGACAAAATATATATAGATGAGTTAGTTAAAACTTAGCTTTTTTATTATTAAGTACCCAAATATGTCTTCCTTTCACAAATTATTGTTAATAATAAATAAAACACTAGGTCTGTATTAATTACAAACGTTTCTAGTTTAAAAATCTTTGCAAAAAAACCTCCTTTTCAAATTACTGAACAGTTGTACAGACTTCTCCTGTTTTGTTTTTTCGTTTAAAATTACTTTTCGGCTAAGTACGTACCATATATAAGGGGTTTTTTACGCGATATCTAGCTATATGATGATGGTGTTAATGTCCGGAAAATGTTTTTATTTCAAATTGGACTGAAATTAAAAAGCTTTTACCGGACAATGACGTGCTGTTTTGATAAGCTTAATGATAAGCTCTTTTACAAAAACATATACGTCAATGTAAGACGTATATGATAGTGCTCAGAACAAACAACAGATGAAGCGTTAAGTAATATATCACTAAAAAAGATAAAAGCATTTTTAAAGAAAAAAATTATCTCACTCTTGAAGTTCTATAGTATTAAAATACATAGAACCTATATGTTTAAAAGAATGTTTCAAAGAATAAAATTTCTTTAAAAAGAGAGTATAAAAAATGCATGCATATAGCTAATTCATAAGGTGATAAAAAGGTTTTTATACTTCACAGCGATTATGAAAGAACAACAAAGAAACTCCTATAGCTGGGGAAAATCCTTCAACATAAAGAATTATAATTTTTTAATGATTAGGTTTATCATTTCACGAAAAACATTAAAAAAGAGCAATCACATTTTTCTTTTCGTGAAATTGCAGTTGTGTTGCATACATATTTTTTTGCTATTTTTTATTATTCGAAATGTTTAAAGACACCTGTCATCTTCCTTCGTTCATTTTCTTGTCCATTAGCTATAATAACGAAATTAATTTAAATTGAGACAAAATGATAAAGCGTGAATTAAACAATGACATCCAATCATTTTAAAATCATTTGCTATATTGTTTTCACTCACAGTCCTTAACATTAGTCCAGTCTCGACTTTGTGAAACGGGGAAACTGGCAGGAACTTAAACATAAGACTTACTGAACACAAACGAGGTACAAAGAAACGAGACAGAACTAATCATATTGACGAACATCACCGAATCACAAAGCACAACATTGACTGGGAC